TAATTATTTTTTTTGTATATATATATATATATATATATATTATATATCTGTTTTGGCATTTTGCATATCCTTTGCAGCACTTTACTAATTGTTTTGGGTGCTTGAAGGTAAAACATGCCTAAAAGTTATGTGGGTTTTTGTAAACCACGAATTCCAAACTGTATTTTGCCAACCAAATGAATAAAACAAGCTAAAGAATGACTGAAGTAGATACAAGCAATTCAGTGACAAGATGAAGAAGTAAGAAGTGCTAGAAATTATGATGGCTTGCAATGTATTTGCTAAAACTGAGATGGGGACTGGGCCATTATTATGTCTCATTGTCATTCTCGGCCCATGCACACACCTCTTTCTTTTGAACACTCACTAATATAGTCAAATGACCGCTGTTTCTTATATTTGTCTCATGGGATGCATAACAGAGAGAATCGGCCAAAAAAAGGAGGTATCTGTGTTGCCAACCACACCTCCCCGATTGACATTGTCATTCTGGCGAATGATGGATGTTATGCTATGGTGAGTCTCGCTGACTATATCAGCTGTGTGACATTGTGTGTCTGTAGAAGGTCTCAGGTGTCTTTAACTCAATTTCATTCTCCTCAGGTAGGTCAAGTTCATGGAGGCCTCATGGGGGTCATCCAGAGGTCAATGGTGCGGTCCTGTCCCCATGTGTGGTTTGAGAGATCTGAGATGAAAGATCGCCATGCGACTGCCAAAAGGTAACAAAGTGTGTGTTGATCAGTATTGTGGAGTATAACATGTCCTTGCTTAGGGCATAAAGCCTCAATTTTGCTTTTTCCACAGGTTGAAAGACCATATTGCTGATAAAACTAAGCTGCCAATCCTGATCTTCCCAGAGGGTAAAAGTTATATTCATGTGATTTTGTCCTTATGCAAGTCTCTAGTAATGCGATAATTATGCAGTATCAATCTACTGTAAAATAAAGTATAAATATGGAAGCTTGTTTCTGCCATAGAATAAAAAAAAAACTTTTTTTCTCACAATATAAACTCAGAAAATGCAAGATATAAACTTGCAGTTATGAGAAAAAAATATTACCTTTTTGATTCTTTATTCCATGGCAGAAAAAAAACCAGAACAAAAAAAAAAAATACAGAATTGTGAGATGAAAAATGTCAGAATTGCAAGATTTAAACTCATAATTGCAAGTTTATAACTTGCGATTCTGAGGAAAAAAGTCAGAATTGTAAGCTGTAAACTTCCATAAAATGCTGTAAAATTCAGAGAAAATTACATTTGATTTATTCTGTGGTGGAAACAAGCTTTCATATATAAGTATAAATCACAATAGACATTTAATTTATATACAGTACATATTACACATTTATTTGAATAAATCTCTATCATTTGTTATCCTATTCCCTATGGTCTGTCTTTGTGTTTATTGTAGGAACTTGCATTAATAATACGTCAGTCATGATGTTCAAGAAGGGAAGCTTTGAAATCGGTGGAACTATATACCCAGTAGCAATCAAGGTATCGAGTACCAACAACCCAGTGTTTTCCTACAGCAGTATTACGGTTACCCTCTGAAATGGAAACACTTCATTTACTTCTCTCTTGCAGTATGACCCTCAGTTTGGAGATGCCTTCTGGAACAGTGCCAAGTACAACATGGTGAGCTACATCCTCAGAATGATGACAAGCTGGGCCATTGTGTGTAACGTGTGGTACCTCCCACCTATGACTCGACAGGTAAGCAGGAATATCCATCTATTTATCCATTCTCCAAAACTGCTTGTCCTGTTTAAGGTCACAGGGAAGCTGGAGCTTAAGCAGAAACATGAATTAGGGTAATTTTTGATATTCGAGGAAAACAGTAAAAAATACACACACACACACACACACATATATATGTGTGTGTTTTATACATGGGAACCCCTTCAATTCTGTTAAAAAGCATCCCAGAATTAGGCCCGTCGCAATAATCAATATATCGACTTATCGCGTAATATATGTACATGACCTCAATCATTTTTGGTGACGCAATATGTCACCCATTATATCTACTTAAATTAATGTCACCGTTTTGTACATTCCACTTGCACCTGTTTCTTTTGCAGCTTCTCGTGCATAATGTGGTGTAGTCATGAGGTGCTAGTTCAAATTTTAAAAATGCTTCTACAAACAAAGTTTCATCTGCAGATATGGCCTTGTTTAGGGATCTGTGCCTTTGTGCATACGGACATCTGACTGCTGAGTAGTGATTGTGTTTTTACGACTTATGACTGGTTTTGTGGTCCAGGGTCACAAATATGTCAAACCAAATCAACTAAGTTTGTTATATATGGATGGAATGCTGATTTTTAATTTCATATTAAAGTTTGAAGAAGCATTTCCTAACGGGAAGGGTCTGTGTCTCTTTCAGTGCGAAGAACTGGCTTAGTGATGTGGTTCATATTACATGCTACAGAATATGTGTCAGAGCCCTGTCTGCTACCATCCGCTATCATAATAAGTGAGTCAGTGCTTCTTTTTTATCCCAGTCTTTCCAGGCATACATCAAATGTCATTAACTGTGGGGGAAAAAAAACAAAAACAAAAACAAAACAAATATATATGAAAAAAAGACTGGAAAAGTCCAAAGAACTCACAAATGTGAAATGTTTGTCATGTTCTGACCATAAAGAGTAGTTTAAACCACAATTAATGGTCAGGGCTAGGCCTTTTGCAATAATCAATATATCGACTTATCGCGTAATATATGTACATGACCTCAATCATTTTTGGTGACGCAATATGTCACCCATTATATCTACTTAAATTAATGTCACCGTTTTGTACATTCCACTTGCACCTGTTTCTTTTGCAGCTTCTCGTGCATAATGTGGTGTAGTCATGAGGTGCTAGTTCAAATTTTAAAAATGCTTCTACAAACAAAGTTTCATCTGCAGATATGGCCTTGTTTAGGGATCTGTGCCTTTGTGCATACGGACATCTGACTGCTGAGTAGTGATTGTGTTTTTCAGCAATACAGTGCACCCTTAATTTACAGAGAAAAGAAGGTCCGGGAAAAATCTATAGATGGAAAAATCTCCATACAAGTTCTTTGTGCATTTTTCTTTTTTTCTACTTGTTACTTTGCACTTTTTGTTAGAAAATGTTTATTTACTATTTATTCAGGTTTTTTAAGGAATCTAATATTTTGATACTTAATTTCCATAATCTAAATATTCTTAAAAATGAAAAGTTTGTTGTCATTTGGAAGTGTGTAGGCCTTCTTGCATTATTATGCTGTTACATTACGATTATATATTCAGTGGCATAAAATGGTCTTAAAATGACAATAATATCGCTTATCGCAATTATTTCTGGGGCAATATATCGCACAACAAAAAGTTGTTATCGTGACAGGCCTACCCAGAATGCAACAGTGCATGCAGAGCTGTGGTATAAGCATGGGGTTACTACTAACTACTTTAAAGAAATTTCAATGTAAGATAGGTGTGATTTGTTTAACACTTTTTCCCCACTTCCATTTGTGTTACTACTTAGTTTTACTGACTTTGTTGAGAAATGTAGGTGTTTCTAAACTTTTGACTGGTAGAGCCTTCCCATCTTTTTATTGTATCTGTATATCTGAATATGTGTTTTGTAGGATGGAGAGGATGCTGTTCACTTTGCTAACAGAGTGAAATCAGCCATAGCACAGCAGGGAGGTCTGGTGGATTTGTCCTGGTAAGTATGCAAACAATCCTACACAACATATTACAACCAAATGTTAGTATAAAAAAAAACTGATTTTTTTTTTTTACATTTACCATAAATATTAAAAACATATATATTTTTTTATGACTTTAGTATTTTTTATGATAATTATTAGAATTATTTGTTATTTTATTCTCTGAAAAAACCCCCAATTATGATTAAATATGTACTGTAAATATGCATTAAATAATTAAATGTCTGTAGAATGCCTATAGAATGTATATTTATAGTGCATGACAAAAATGATGGCCAATATAATCTTGGCAGGACCAAATATTGGCCTTGCTAATATGAGTCTTTCACAAATTTTTAATATTCACAAAGTATAATTGTGTTACAGGGATGGAGGACTGAAGAGGGAAAAGGTGAAAGAATCATTTAAGGAGGAGCAGCAGAAGATGTACAGCAGTATGATCGTAGGCTTAGACTGTCATGAAGCCTCTGAAGGTCCCGTGTAAATTTCATCTCACACTATTTATGAACTTGATCTGAAAGTATGAAACAATTCTAGCTCAGCCACCAGACACAATCATTCAGCATCCATCGGCACAGTGCGATGCTGCACCTTTTGATTCAGCTATATTTTATTTAACTGGAAAAATTTTTCTTGAGATCTGAACTTGTAATTCTTTGGCCGTGTTTTTAAATGTGTACATAAATCTTTAAAATAGTGATGATATATTGTTACATGACTTAGTGAAACACTTTGTTTTTTTCCGCTTTGTTCTCAATCGTTGTTGGGAGTTAGTATGCCTAGTTTCCTTTACAATACACTGTATAGATTTGCATGTTAAAATATTCACTTCATCTTCATATTGTATTCCTGTTACATGATTTCTTAAAGATCCTAAAGCTGCACACACTTTTCTCAGGTCCAGTGAGCTGTTCTTGTGTGGACACTAGAGGTCACTCTTACCAAACAAAAAAAAATTCGAGCCACATCAGACAGCTCACTATCATGATTGCCTTTCCTAAGAAAATAATGAAATTAAATATTCATCTCTCAAAGAATCAGTCATTTTATTTAACATGATATTTAGCAGTCCTATAATAAAATCACTCCTATTCTCAAAGTACACAGCGTGAGCAAAACCAGTGTAGAATGTAAATATACAACAATTACATTAAGCCTTTTCAGCCCTCTGTGAAAAGGCAAATCTGTCTCCCTTGTGTCAATTAGTGATGGGTGATGCACAAAGCACCATTGAGCTCTTGATTGTAGGAGCACCAGCTCATTTTACTTAGAGCTCCACTGAAATGCCTGCCATTATAAAGTCATTAGGCGCTAAGATTTCGCTGCAGAAAGTGGACAGAAAGTTTCCCAGCACAGGAAAAGGAGAGGGTGAAGTCACGGTAAATTCAAAGAGGGGACAGTGAGCAATATGTGCTTGCTGCGATGGCAGTTTAATAAAGAAAGCATAGAGTGTGAAATAGAACATAGTTATTCTCTGGCACAGAGGGCTGGAGCAGGCTTAGCTTTCTCTCTTTCTCTCCGTCTCATCCCCAGACGATCCTCCAGCCCCCATGAAAGGCAGCAGCGGGCTTTAATAACAGTCCTGCAACTTAAATTGCTTGAACAGAAATGTTTGTTCTCCCCTAACAGGATTGTAAATTATTAATCGGATCTCAAGCCGATTTTATAACCTGATTGTTGAGGTGGGATTCTCCACGAGCAGTGCTCTGGCACACCATTTACTGTGATGTATGTGTCTGCACATATTTATATCCAATTTAATGTGATTCGGATAGATTTCAAAGCGACATCATAAAAAGCATGGAAGTGGCCCCGGCAGAGCCTCGAATGTAGACTCCGTGCGTCTCGGTATTTTGATTCGATTTTCCCGATTTCTGTTTTTACCCAGATGTGATCTATACAAATGTAATGCCAGTACACTCAGTAAATATGAATAAATCTCTAAATTAGATCATTTTTCTGGAGAATGTAGTTCAAGCTGGACATCATTTTAAATCACAGTTTGCCTGGAACTGACTGGCTTACCTAATCAGAAGGGTAAATGACCTCGCTTCTGCCGAGGACCTGCCATTAGTTAGAGCCGAATGTTTTTTAAATACATTGTTCTACCATCGTTTCTGTGACTCGAGTGGACCTCCTACTCTAATGCATGAGATCTTGAGGTACAATACGTCTCTGAGGAAAAAATCAATAGGGGAATATTGGAAGAAGTCTCTGCAGACTCTCTTTTCTCGAAAAGCTCGGCACCTCACAAGAAGTTTTAGTGCTTGAATATGCTCAAATACAACTCTATTAAATAGAGTCAGTTTTAAGATAAAACCTGGATAAAACATTACACATGATTGGAAAGCATCTGCTAATTTATAGTGGTTGGTTGCTTACTGCTCTCTTTGCATTTTAATTAAATCATTTACCTTAGACAATTTAATTACCTTAAATTGTTGTTTTAATGATGATTACATGTCATATTTTGTTTATTTGAGCAGCGCACTTCACGATTGATGCTTCTTTGCTTGTTTCCAGCCAGACCTGACTGAAAAAAATGAATTAACGAAAACATATACGGTCTAAATCAAAGAGCTGGCGGGGTGTCTGAGGAGAGGAAAAATAATACAATGAAAGTGTGCTCGGCTTTTGTCGTGGCCTTAGACATGTCCTCTCCTGGACCATAGCTGGAACCAAAGGATGTGCATATATATATATATTCATTATATACAGTATAATGAATAAATAAAAAAATATATAACAATATAGTAATAGCCTATATATAGATTTCATTAACTTTAAAATCAAGGTAACATGTTCTTCAACAGGTGGGTTAATATGCGGTTGATCAGTCCACCAGATGTCAATATGCTCGTAATGTTTCATCAACACTATCTAATGTATATTAGCAGGATACAAGAAGAGAAATCATATGCCCAACTCATTTGCAATTCTACCTGATTAACATACCTTAATGAAACAGGCTATAATTGGACCGCATTGATTTTTCCCCCCTCTTTCTGATTGAGCTAAAATGGAGTCTGAACTTCTTTTAGTCTGAGGGCTGATTGATCTGCGGCGAGATTCAAGACTATTCAGTTTGAAAAATAATTATGTTCTTATAATCAGCTGAAATTTTGATACAGTATTGTTGCTTAAGTTGAATCTTTTAATTCAGGTGTATTCATAAGCTTCATATATAGCATAGAATCCAGGATTATAGTTAACTAAAACTGAAACTAATACGAAATCCATTTTAAAAAATTGTTACTTTAAATAAAACATATGTTAACTGAAATAAAAAGATATACTGTATATAGCCAAGGCAACATTGCTCACAATAAACTTGAACTGAAATTAGAATAAAAATGTAAAATACAAAATTAAAAACGGATTCAAAATATTAATAAAAACTATAATAGTATGATAGTAAAGTAACACTGATTAAACCAGGCTTAAATGAGTTAAAGCAGATGCATGCAAAAACATGCAAAAAAATCTGCGCCAATAGCCTCGTGGGCAGCATGCCGACATATAGTGCTGTTGCACTTCGGGCGTCCCAAGCTCGAGTCCTGGCATGCAGACCTCTCCCAATCCCGTCCCTCCTTTCTCTCCCACCTCACTTCCTGTCTGAAATACTGTCCTATCCTAATAATGTCAAAAATGCCCCCCCAAAAAAAACCCGTCCTAAAAGACTGAATTAAATAGCATAATTTTAGATACTGATGTAAATTATTGCACACAAGGAAGGGGTCAAACTTGCTATTTTTAAAATGAGTTTTAATTTAGTTTTTGGTTTTACAGTCTGTGTCAGTATTGCAAAATAACTTTTATGGCTTTCAAAGAAACCAGACAGTTTGAAATGATTCAGCTCAAGTAACAAGATCATAAATCATTGCTTTCTGTGCGTATGCATGTTTCTCTTTTTATGGAGAGAGAGGCAGAATTTCACCTTGAATGGGAGAGCTGTCGCGGTTCACCGTTCCAGGCGTTTTACCCTTTACTGTGATTGCTTTTGTTTTTCGGGTCAGCTCTCATCTATGCCTGCAACTTTTCCAATTTATCAGGACTTGTTATATGAAGACAAAAGCTACAGTCAGACGGCAGTGCAGGCAGATTGTACACAGAGCCATTTAAGAAACAGCAACAAAGATGTGGAGTGGCACACATTCATGCTTGGTGAGCAGTGCTTATAATCACACCTCCGTGAAACACACTGTGCAAGTTCATCAAATGAATAATGAAATAATGATTGTGGTCCATTAATAGAAAATTATCCAGCCTCATGATTAATTGCATTAAACTTATGAAAGTGTGTTTTTTTGTACAAATCAAAGGGAGGAAATGATGGATGATGAGGAGGCATGATGAATGAAGAAAGGCTGTGAACTAAATTGAAAGTGTACTCATCCGTTCTCCGCTCAAAACTAATGATGAATTGACCGTGTCACATTGAACAATACACATTGAGCTTTAAACATAAACCCGGTTTGAAAGCAGGTACAGATCCTGAATCACAATTCTACTGAACAGCATGCAAAATAAATGATTATTGATGTTATTTCTCTTTTCATTTCCATTTAAGGTCAACAGAGTAGGACTGATATTGAACATGATATATTAATATATATAACTTCTACAGATTATCAAGTAATTATATTTCTGAATGCATTCAAAAATATTTTGGGTGCCAAATATCAAACCTGAAATCACTTAGGCTACATTGTGAGCAGCCAACAGTCCACACGAGGGAAACAGCTTAATAAACATGCTAAATAATACCTTAATAAAAGTCTAAAAATTCAAAAATGGTGTTTAATGTTTAGATTTAGGGTTATGGGTAGAAAATATTTTTAACTCGGTATAAAAAAAAAAGTCAAAGGAAAGTTATGTTTGTAAGAGGTTGCGGGGTGGTTGATAATCAACTAAAACAACCATTATTAGTTTAGTTATTAGGTTAGAGTAATGGAAATGTGTCTGACTGTTTTCTTAAACTTTAATTTTCTTTAAGCTGGCCCTTATGATATTAATAACCTCTTTTTTCAAACGTTTTATATTGTGCTGTTTTCATTATCCTTTGTTTCATTTCCAAAATCTGACTCATAATTTTCTTCAATCTGACCGTTAATAACCTCTTTCAGACTTTTTATATTATGCTTATCTGTTTTGATTACCCTTTGTCTCATTCCCTAAATCTGACTCTTTGTATTGGATTACAAAGAAAGACGGCACAGGCAAAAGAAAATAGAAAATGCACAGATTATTTTTTTTCTTCATATTGCAAAAAATTGCCTAATTGACAAACTGCCAACGTTACAGATGATCAAATCCATATTAAGACAGCATCTGGCCAGGCTCCAAGCAACAATGTGTATTGTAAATAATATTGCCATCTGTGAGGTGCCGACAGTTGGGGATTAAGAAATTACATGATTATAATTAATTCTGAGAAGATAAAAGATGTAGCGCATGTGTAAAAGTTCCTCTTCTTGTTTGTTTGACTTCCCACCCATCATGTGACGAATCAAGAATGATTCTCAAACTCTGAAAAACTATTCAATATGGAACTAAATATTTGACATAAGTACAAACTCATCATCAAACTCATGAAAAAAAATTACATAATTACATATGAATTATTTCTTCTCTACCATTCAAAAGTTTGGGGTTGGTAAGTTTTTTTATTGCTTTTGAAAGAAGTCTCTCATGCTCACCATATCAAAAATAGAGCAAAATACAGTATTGTTGCAAAATATAGAATTTAAAATAACTGTTTTATATTTAAATATATATTTTAAAATGTAATTTATTCCTGTGATGGCAAAGCTGAATTTTCAGCAGCCATTACTCCAGTTTTCAGTGTCACGCTAAAATCACTTCTAATATGCTGATTTCATGCTCAAGAAACAATGTTGAAAACAGTTGTGCTGCTTAACATCTGTGTGGAAATTTTATATTTAGGGGTGACTATGATAAACATTTAGTTTTGAAATGTATGAACACTGCAATAATGTGACCCCCCCGCCCACCCCAAAT